TTCATCGAAAACAACATGAATAGACTCCTCTACGGTCTTAGTACGCTTGTTGAACACTCTATATGCCTTACTACGAAGAGAATAACCTAAGAAAATTCCTTCATCCGACTTAGCATCAAATTTTCCCAAGTTATCTTTTCCATTATTATGAATAAAAACTTTACATCCAAAGACATGAAAATAGGAAAGGTTAGGCTTTCTTCCTTTGTAAAGTTCGTAGGGCGTTTTCTTGAGTATCGGTCTAATGACGGCTCGGTTTAACACGTAGCACGCGGTACTCACGGCATCCGCCCAAAAATATTTAGGAAGGTTAGCCTCATTGAGCATAGTTCTAGCCATCTTTTCAGGAGACCTATTTTTCTGTTCAACCACGCCATTTTGTTGTGGTGTACAGGGGGCCGAGAAGTTATGCTCAATGCCTAATTCTTCACATAAGGCGTCAAAGCCATCTTGATCGAATTCTCCCCCATGATCACTTCTAATGGATGAAATGTGACAATCTTTTTCATTTTGAACCAATTTGATAAATTTCTTGAAGAAGCGTTTATGGGTTGCAAAAATTCTTCATCAATCTCCTCCTCTTCATCCGCCGCAGCCGTGTTCGAATTCCAGCCGCAATTGTTTTCATCTCAGCCGCCCTACCAGACTTTGTTAATTTCGCCGGCTTCATTAACTCCCTGGATAGGAGACCTCCTGTTTCGCATTCCTTAATATTCACAATCCATAACTTGTTTTTAACGGATCGTTAAGGAAATTAATCAGGTAAAGCGAATTGAGAGTTTTATTTGGTTATTCATTGGATTGTTAAATATGTGGAAGTGAGAGGGGTATTTATCTTGTGATTGCTGAGGAGTTTGGTTCTTTGTTCTTCTCTGAGTTCATGGGTTTTTGCTTCTTGTTTGTGCTGTTTCTAAAGCTTGACTTATGCTGGCCAATTAATGGCAGTCATTTGTAATTGTTTATAATTCGTTATAGGAGATGAAGTGAATGAGATTTTGAATATTTAATGGTTTAATTTTGTCATGTTAGGTGAATTTCATGGTTTACCTATGAATGTCTCTCTCTCTCTCTCTCTCTCTCTTTGCTTTTCTTGTTTTGGTAGAATATTGTCTTTTGTAATTTCTTTTCATCCCTTATGTTTTTGTGTTGTTTCTGATGTGCTGTCCCATAATGTTTTTTAAGAAAGAAGCTGCCTATTGAATAAAAGTGTGGGGATTGAAGGGAAGGGGGAAGCACCCGGGCACTATGCATGAATGATTTCCACATCTTCTATGTGCTCCCAAAGATTGATGCTTCTGCAAGTGTAAAAATCCCCTTGCATAAAAAGGATATCGTCCATGAGGGCTAACACTTCTGGTTGGGCTGCACTTGTCCAAAAGCAAAGACAGAATCAACAAGGCATTGAACCCCAGCTCGAAAGTGAACCTTTCCCTCCTTTATCACTCTCCAATACTCTCTCAACAAAGAATACTGATACTATATTGGAGAAGCCTTTTTCTTCTGTGCTCTTGCCTTCTCCAAATCTTTCATCCTTGGAGCAAAATAAGTATCCAAAAAATAAGCAATCAAGTGCTGGGCATTTCAATTCCAGCGAAGGGACTAAATTTTTAAAAAATGGGGATGATGTTGATTCATATCAAATTATTAAAGAGCTTCACTCGTGGGCAGATGAAAGCTTGATCAAAGATGTTATGGCTGGGGTAAACAATGAATTTGCTCAGGCTATGAAGATATTGGAAGATATGGTGTCTCTGGATCAGACAGTTGTCTTACATGACGATTCAGAAGCCAAGAAACCTGATATTAACAAAATCTCAAATGCAGATGAATTATCATTTCCTTGTGTTCAAAAGATCAAGGAAGAGAAAGATAGAAAAGGTAAAGAAGTCAATGAAGATGATTTATCTGGAGAGAATGTGAATTTGGAAGAATTGAACAATGCTATAAATAAGTGTTTGAATATTAGTAGCAAAAACTTAATCAATTACCCTGCTTCTTGCATGGACAAGCTTCACGGCAATGCATCAATTGGATTTTTTAGATTTGTACCCATTGAACCTGAATTATGGGAAGAAGACGATATATACTCATTTCAAAGAAAGGACGCCATCAGGATGATGAGGTGGGTTGCATCAATTTTTTATACTTTCGCTTGAAAATGTTACTCCCTTATTGTGATTAGCATCACTAAAGTGTTTGTTACTTCAATTCTGCGCTTGTTTTCACTGCATATGATGAGATTTGCAGAGAGACTGCCCAGAATAAAAAATATGTAGGAGGGACATTTGATTCATAATTGGATTGTTTTGTCTTCATTCTCTTTCTACTTTGGGGGGGGGGG